GACACATGTTTATATAGACTTTATGCATTAATTTTAAAAGTTCTATCGAATCTTAAAGTTATGCAACAATAAACTGAAACACCCTGTATACTTTTGTCCATTACTGTACATATTAACAGAAAATCCCAGGTTACCATATTTTATTGTTAAAAAAGTTCACTAACGTTTCTCTTGAAACTAATCACGGTGGAATATATATAATCTTCACTTACATTTTGATTTCGGGTTTTCCATAGGCTTTCCTGTTTGAAAAAAGCCCCTGGTACTACACCCGTACTCTCCCGGTGGTGCGTTTTCTACGCCGCTGACCGAAGTTATGCAGCCAACTTCGCGTCGCCGTATTTATGGAACTCGCAGCGGAACGCTTAGCGCGCGGCGTAATGCCAAAATATGAGACGTAGTTAAAAGTTTTCGCCTGCTGCTTTTTGATAAAGCCTCCCCTAAAAAGGCGGAGTTCACTCCGACAGTCGGCATACACTCACATACATATACATTCCAATGTACGTACAAATATGCGCGCAAGATACTTCGTTCCGAGCCAAAATGGATTCGTTTATTTGGAAATACGGCCGAGCCAGTGAGCGAACGGAAACAGGAAGACTTCGGCTTCCGGTAGAGAAGGCACAGCGGAAACCAAAGGCGGCAGTCGTGCGGAAAAGATCTGGCTAAAGACGATTTCATACGGGTCGGGCGATAAATGAGACGTAGTAATGGACAACCGCGGTAACTTCACAAAGCATGTTTGACGAAACGGAATTGCAATGCTAAGCCATTTTGGAAGAGTGAGTACGGGCCAGTTTCACCAACAGCAGTCCGTTATTCTCCAACTATAGGGTAACAGCCGTCAAATACAGCGAATGAGCTTCAAGTTTCAAATTTTAGCAACCAATAGCTTTGAAATGTTGAAAACAAAATACTGTCAAAGTATGAGATGACATCTTGTCATTCAAACATCATCAGCTTATTGAATCTTAAGAAATTACATATAATTCAGTCAAAATTTAAACAAATGTTTGATTTTTGAATAAAATTTATGATTTAATTACTATTGTTGATTTTTTATTCATGTTTATATTATTTTCTTCAATTGATATGCGCGATTCTACTGATTCAAGATCATCTACTGTGTGTTTTTACCTATCAACTTCTTGCAGATAGCCATTAAGCACCTACTTGATGACTGGCTCTACCAAAAAGTTCTTAGATATTGCTCGTTTCCAGAAATTCATTCATTTACTTGCCGTTCATCAAAAGCATTATGGCACCTTAGATTGATATTCCCACAAAACCATTCTGGTCTTTTAATATCCATACATCCATAAAGTTGAATATTTTTCGTTGTTCAGGAACTTAACAAACATCCACACTATATTCACAGCGATTAATAAATACCCAAATATATGTCGTAGAGCTACCAGCAAACCTAAAACCTGCAGAAAAACTAGAAATTTGCAACATTTTTCTTTTTTCACTGAGTACATATTCTGGGTTATATTTATATTAGACATTATTTGAATCACAAAACGTATACACCGATTTGAATATCAGCTGATTATCTCCTCCTGGTATTTTAAAACTAACCATATCGACAAGTGACACATAATTCTGTGGGATCCGTCAACACTTCGTCCCAGTGGAGCAAACTCTGCCAACTGTCGAAATAAACTTTATTAATTCCAAGTCTTATTTTTGTTTTACTGTGCCTGCTTAGATATTCAAATACGGCCAGGAATTATTAATGCCTGGCTATTTTAGGCCTTCAATAACTCCCTATTTTAGATATTTCCTTATTTTGTTTTTTCCACGCATTCATGGTAGAAAGAAAAATATTTTATCGAATACCGTATACTGTGCAGCAGGCACGCCCATCACTACTTTGACAGATTGCAGAATGATGTCAAGGTGACAATCGTTATGTGAAAGTTGTTTTTGTTTTTGTCTGAAATAGGTAAGTAGGCTTTATGTATTCGTTTTTATTTTTATAGCGTTTCCAGAATTTCATATTTCGAAACGATGTCAAGGGCCGGCAGAGGAAAATATTTCTCAGAGAACTGAAAATCATTAAACGCGCTGTTTTCAGTATATTTTATTCTATCCCTTGGGGAAGTACAGAATGAAGAAAACACTACAGTGCTCAGTGGCCGCTCAGTGGCTCAGTGCTAGTCTGTAATGATAATATTCAAATACTACTAAACACCTAAATAGCTTTCTGGCCTTTCAATTTCGAAGCTACCAGTCCTCGCTTAGAGATGGTAGCACAGTTAAGGATAGACTCGGGGTATACGGTTACGGATGTTTATGATTCCTCTCGATATCGATATATCGTCATGAAACCATCGATGCGTAAAGGTCGATGTTCTATGTCCGATGTATCGATGTTTTCGATACATCAATGTATCGTCTATCGTCGCCATCCCTATATGGTATCCCCACCAGTCACCAGTCAAAAACCTTAACCACCAATATTTTATCACTATTTATAATTCTTTTTAGCTCTTATTTCTCAGTAATTACTGATAATTTTAGGTCTATGTCTACAGTAATTGCATTATGCACCTCGGAGATGTAGAGATTAACATGTTTTACATATATCGGTGTTTTAGGATGGGGACGACCATACTGTTTTGATTGACTTGAAAAATTCATTAACCCATGAATTTATAACAAATGATTACTATTATGATGTAAAGAGAGATGAGGAATTGGTTGGAATACATTTTATATTCTATTTTCTTGCAAATCCGCACAATTCAACAGGTATGTGTAGCTATAATGATCACATATACACACAGTATATTGCACTTAACAAATTTTGAGATTGCCATGAATTAACAAACAACAAAACCTGCTGCCAAATTTAACAGCTAGAAAATCGACCTATTATTTCTCCCATTCCCATTCGCTGAGGGGATAACGGATGGTCAAATGTAGACCTATAACATAAATCAAAATACATGAAAGTTGTCCTGTTTTCTCTGTACAAAAGCATCATGTTGGAATTAAAAAGTGGTCTTGTTTATAATACAGTCGAATTTTCACTATTTTATTCAACATTTTTATAGAAATCACTGAGACCTTTGACAGCTTCCGTCAAATTGCATTTCGATAAGGTATTTTCCTATTGGTCCATAATATTAATGTTGGTGAAATCGGCCCTACGAGTTATATTTATATTTGATATTACTGAAACGATTTTTGGCATATCTTCCTCAAAAAATGAAGTAAGTAGATTGACTCAATACGCATTAATATGCATTTAACGTTTAAAGTTGGGGTAACTGAATCGATCGCCGCCAGTTATGGGCGTATTCACATCATAAAAATACGCTATTGTATATGCGTATACAATTGTAATTGTATACGTCTTGATATTCATGTACATAATAGGGTGTCCAGTGAGAAAGTTCACCTTTTGGTTTAATAAACAAAAAAAAACTAAATGGAAAGAAAATATTTATTACTATCAACATATTCGTAAATTCGGCGGGTCTTATTTCTTGAATATCATTCCGTCCAAATATTTGCCATCCCTTCGGAAACAGTAATCGCGCGCACTAATTCTGAAACACTCTCTTTCAGAGTTCTGAAGTGATGCTGTTTATTTCTCGTGGAATGTTTCTCTTTTGGGTTCGTTGATGCCCCATTCTATGCAATTTTGCCTGTTCACATAACCGTCTGAGTGAAAATGGGCCTCGTCACTGAAAACAACGTCTTCAAGTCTGCGCTGCGTAGGAAAAAGATTCAATATCCGGTCAGCACAAGATTTCCGTAATACTTAATCACTTTTCTTTAAAGCATGGACTGATTGGACTTTATAAGGATGAAAACCAATTTTTTCTTCATTATACCGTGCAGTGTTGATCTAGGAATTCTCACAGCAGCGGAATGCTTCCGTACAGAACGCCGAGGATTTGCAATGACCGAATCACCTACTTACAGTAGGTGTCGGCCCAGGAATGGGTTGACTCAACAGTAGATCCTGATTAACGGAACCTCTTAATCCACTTTTGCAATAGGTTCTTACTTTGGGCATCTCTTGGTCGGCGAATTTCCGAAGGGCAGCTGCGCATGACTCACCACTCTTAAAGTAAGCCTGGATAGCAAAAGTACGTTGCGCTCCGGTCCAACGTTCCCTTGTGCCTATTTAACCCGCACGCCGAATGCGTCGATCAAGACCTCTCCCCACTTCCTCGCGTATACGGTTGCTGCGTATCTCAAATTCCCACTGGACACTCATATTAGTCCAATTAGGTCGCTTGTATATATGCAACGTCTATAAAAGTGATTTTTTTAGTAATTAGAATTAGGTATAAGTACAGATTGTCATTTATATATACACATCTATAGCTATAGCTTTTAAATGAATTAGGAACATTTCTAAAACAAAATACATTGAGGAAACAAAATCGTTCAATTTCACAGTGTTCACTCAGCGTCGCCAACGTTGTTCTGAATCATTCATAAGCAGTGAATATGTGCTTTTTTAATTGAGTTAAGAACTGGACAACTTTTTTTACAGACTCATAACTCCACAGAATAATTTTGTCGATCTGTGAACAAAGTGCTCTAGTCTCTTATTTTTTTAGCAAGAATAATTATATTTACTAATGTTTTAACATTTGCGAGTCATTGTATACGCATTGTTTACATTGTATGTGTATCGTATACGTTATCTATGCATCATCTATGTCGAAATGTAGAAAATTGCAGTGTACAAGATGAGAAACACCATCGGGAAGATAGTGTAACATAGGCATGGTCTCTGTGGTAAAGTCAAATGAGGCCTGGCAAAGGTGCAAATAGTTAGCTGTCATCATTTATCAGACCTCCAAAGGCAGAAATCATGTATCTTTGTCCATTTTTCTTTTGCCTGATGATCCTACTGCTGCTCTTAGATAAAACGTTTTATAATAAGCACTTATGGCTCTTGGCTTGCTTGGATCTCGTGCCTTGAACGCCTAATGTAAGTCTTAGATATACGAATAACTATTATGGAATATTTAATAAAAGTACATACCGTTGGGTGGAAACTCGTAGAAATAGGCCGATCTGGGACTAAGACACCTGCAATAAAAGATAATTTCAGCAATAAATATTGAATAATATCAGAAAATTAAATTGTGCTCTTCTCATGTCTCATTATAGCCTTCCAAAATTTTAGCAAAAGGAACGTAATGGTTCAATTTCTGTATAACCTTTTTATTTTGGCAATAATTAAAATCAATTCTTATGCTAATGGATCTTAGGTTAGAAGTCGACGACATTATGTTGTGCCGTTTTGTTACGAATATTATCTAAAGGAAAAATCCAGATGGGGATAAATCCGGTGAATGCGGAGGCTAATTTCCATCGCCTCCCCGTAAAATAATGTGGTCCTCAAAACCATTAATAATGCTGGTTACTCCCTTAAATCATGTAGTTTCGTATTGTTAAAAACTCAAGTTTGGATAATTTTTTACAATCGTCACTGAAAAGCGTTGCAGTATTATTCAAATTTGTGTGCGAGTAATGAAAATTGGATTTTCCTGTAAATTCTTACGTAAACGTCCGATAGTTCCAACCATAAGTGCTCTGCATCGTCTTTCAGCACTAAGAAGGTTCAACAGTATTCTTGTTGCCAAAAATTTGGAATAAGGTAACTTATTTTTGGTACCATTCCATAAATTAAGGTAGCGAGAATATGCACGCTAAGGTAAAACAGGTAAAACGACAGACCGAACTTTACAAATAAATGTCTTCGATTTTGAATAAAATACTACCAAATCCTACAAAATCTAAATAGAAGTTTGAAAAAAGGACGCGTTATAGATATTTCAAACCGCAGTTTATTTTGTTACAGCCTGCATACACTAAACTTTCAGCTTTACTAGTTTTATTTCAACCAATTGCTCAGAAAAGTAGTATTGCAATTTTTAGGTATGTTCCTTGAAATATTGCGATTATAATCTTTATTGTCATTTTGCCCGTTTCAAGATAATACTTGCGATACTAACGTTTGATAGTTGTGGTGCTGTTGGAACAGAAGCGGCTGGTGGCTAGTAGGTGGCAGTTGTTGTTGTACTGGTTGTGGCTGTTGTTGCTGACCCAACAGCCTCTGCTGTTGCTGTCTGGCGATCTGTGCTGCGAAAACTCCATATCCGAAACCATAGATCTCATCCTCTTCTTTATCACTTAAACAACTCGACGGCTGAAAAGGAAAAAATGAAGTTATTCTAAATGATATAAATTCAAGTTGTGCAGGTTTCCGTTTTCTCGACTATTTTTCTTCTTTATTCAAGTTTGTTAAGATACTGGTCCCCATCGTTTGCCTAATCGACATATACAAGAGTTCTCAAAGCCAGAACCTCCACATCTTCATACTAACATTCACCAAAGCTTCAAAATAACCGCCCAGATGATTAGGTAAAAAGATACGACGTTCATCAGTTCTGCGGTCGTGAATGTAAACCAAGCAATTTCTTTATAATTCGGATTTAAAAATAAAAATGCTATATTCATATAGCAATAACGAACTATCCAATATGCTACGAGTTTATGTCTCTAAGATATACTAAGTGACATATAAATCCGAACACCCAGTTTAAATGGTTTTATTTTAATAAAATTTTGTATAAGTACTTAATGAAGCATACTGAGTAAATGATAAAAATTTCAAAATAATAGCACTGCTTTAGAGCCCTTTGACCTTTAATAATGTGTGGATGCACCCTGATGTGCTACACATTCTCCAACGCGCCTAGGCATGCTTCTGATCAGGTGGTCAATGTCCTCCTGTGGTATCTCATTCCAGGCAACCACCAACTCCTCTCGAAGTGCTTCTAGAGTCTGAGGAGGACGTTGCAAATTGAGCAATCTCCTACCCATCATATCCCACACGTGCTCAATTGGGGATAAGTCGGGAGATCTTGGTGGCCATGGTAACAATGTGACATCATTATGTTGAAAGAAGTCTATTGTGACTCTTGCAACATGTGGTCGGGCATTATCTTGTTGGAAAGTTGGATCTGCCAGGGTGTCAAGATAGGGTAAAAGATGGGGTTCTAGAACTTCGTGGATATAACGCTGCGCGTTCATGTTACCTCTGATGAAGATTAAAGGTGACCTGGAACCATAAGCTATAGCACCCCAAACCATAACTCCAACAGTGTGATGAACATGTCTTTCAACAAAACACTGTGGATTCCTCCTTTCACCACGTCGCCTTCTAACCCTGGCACGACCATCGTGCATGCCTAAACAAAATCGAGAATCGTCACTAAAAACAATACTGTTCCATTCCTGATCCCAGAGTGACCGTTGTCTGCACCACTCAAGGCGATTACGTCGGTGTTCTCGAGTTAAAGGAGGACCCAGTGTGGCCGGTATGAAAACAAGCCAAAACTTCTCATTCGTCGGTAAACACTTCGCATGCCAATAGGTCTTCCGTGTTCTGCAAACCATTCATTTGCAATGGACCTGGTAGTGGAGAAACGGTCCCTTAAGGCCAATAATCTTAGGCGGCGATCTTCACGGTCTGTTGTTCTACGGCGGCGTCCAGTGCCCCTTGCTCTTTGCGTACGGCCTTCTCGAAGCCATGCCTGACAACACCTAACCACAGTGTCTACACTTCTTTGCACTCTAACTGCAATTGCCCGACAAGAAAGTCCAGCTTCCCGAAGTCCCACTATACGGCCCCTATCAAACTCACTAAGTTGACGAAATCGTACAAGTCTCCGTACTCTAGGCATCGTAGCCGATCGTAAAGGATGTCAAGAACCAAAATCCGCCAACGTTTATTCTTTACTGCGGCTGAAATATTCATTTTTAGAGCGTTAGTGAATTAAAAAAAAGCAGTATAAAAACCGGAATGTCCAACTGATAAGGCTGAACATTTTTTCACTTGTTATTTACAGTAAGATAAATACATTCACCAACTTTTATTAAAATAAAACCATTTAAACTGGGTGTTCGGATTTATATGTCACTTAGTATACTACTATCGGGCAGATCGTTTTCCTGGATGCTCAAACCCCGCGTATCGGAAATAACTTCGAGTACTTATGGGCATGATTTGACAAGTAGGTACATTGAACATTGTTTCAACACTTCCACATACTTGTTTCTGAAAAGGAAAAATCCAACATCCAATTTTTTACAGTTATACCTGCCAACTTAGGACTCGGGAGTGTTTGTATAGGGATTAAGAGTAAAATAATGCAATGTAGTGTATTATTGATGTTAACAAAGTTTTATGGTTATGCCGATATGTGAGACAACTTACCGAGTATTTCCCGGGCACATAGATCGGCTGCGATTGGCTGTTCGTCATCCCCTGTTGGTTTTGCTGCCCAGCGTTCGGGCCGCCCGCACTGCCGCCCAGGGGCGTCGTTTCCGACTGGGGCGGCAGTTTCCCCTGGGCCCTAGCCGAGTCCCATTCGGCCCTTCGGAGGTCCTCCAGGTGACCAAGGACATCTACGTAGTGCGTACTGAATAGGTCGGCGTAACGGGAGGCGAGGCCTTCCAGGTAACCGCGTTCACCGTCCTGAAAATGGAAAGCATGGGGTTAATAAAATTACCTCTACGAAAGAATTGAAAACGTTTGAGTGCAAATTCAGTTTTTTATATCGAAGTCTTGTCCTCAACATTATATAATGAGTCAACCGACCATCTCTTCAATGCGTCGTAAATGATTCCGTTTCGCACTTAACGAGGATGATCAATATGAGTTAAGTGCAAGAGGCCGAAATGATAAGCCCTACACCTATGCTAAATGATGTGAATAGGTAGCGGTTCATTGGTGGTATCTTAGGAGGAGAAATATGCCAGTTCTTCAACCTCCTGAAACTGGCATATTTTATAACGGGTGATTTTTTAAGAGGTAGAGGATTTGATTTTCAAAAAAAAACACAAAAAATTTGAAAAAACGATTAAATCTTTATTTGAGTCGATAGAACGGTAGATATAATTTAATGTTTAAAGATTATTTCATGTAAATGTTGGCCGCGGCTCCGCTTTAGATGGCCCATGCGCAAGGTCCAATTATGGCACACTCTCTCCAACATATCGACCGGTATCTCACGAATAAATGCTTCAATATTGGCTTCCAGTGCGTCAATCGTTGCTGGTTTATCCCTGTAGACATTAGCCCTAACATGGCCCCACAATAAATAGTCCATCGGCGTTAAATCACACGATATAGGCGGCCAATTGACGGGCCCCAAACGTGAGATAAACTGTTCACCGAACTCGCCTCTCAATAGGGCCATTGTTTCGTGTGCGGTGTGGCATGTGGCACCGTCTTGTTGAAACCACATGTCAGCCAAGTCCAGCTCTTCTATTTTGGGCAAAAAAAAGTTTGTTATCATCGCACGGTAGCGCTCGCCATTCAGTTACGTTCCGGCCATTGTCGTCTTTGAAGAAGTACGGCCCGATGATGCCACCGGCCCATAATCCACACCAAACAGTGATTTGTTCGGGATGCATTGGTAACTCTTGCAATGCTTCTGGCTGGTCTTCATTTCAGATGCGGCAATTTTGCTTGTTAACGTACAAATTCAACCAGAAATGAGCTTCGTCGCTGAACACAATTTTTCGTTAAAAATGTGGATTTTCCTCCAACTTTGCCAGCGCCCATTCACCAAATGGGAAACGTTGTGAGAGGTCGTATGGCTTCAATTCTTGCACCAACTGTATCTTATAAGGTTTTACACCCAAATCCTGTCGCAAAATTTTTTTTTGACATTTCACGGTCATCACTAACACTGGCGGATACAGCCGCAATATTTTCTTCAGTCCTCACTCTACGTCTGCGTGTTGGTGGTTTAATGTCCAATAATGTAAACTGGGTTCGAAATTTAGTCACAAGCTTCCGAATAGCTTCCTCAGTAGGCCGACCAAATTGCCCATAAATTGGAAGCAGTGCTCGATGCACTCTCTTAACCGAGCATGAATTTTGATAGTAAAATTCAATAATTTGCAAGCGTTGTTCGTTCGTAAGTCGATGCATGGTTAAAGTATAGACCAAACTGAACAAGTTTGACAATGACATAAGACACGCATCATCTGTCAAAAACAGTGTTGCCAAAAAGATACTAGCAAAAAAATCACCCATTATATTCATCTACTTAGGTTATATGTAATATTCGTCAATTACTAGTTGCTATGAACTTGCGCCCAAAATATAACTGGAGATTTAATACAGTTTTCATAAATTTATTTATAAACGGTTATACACTTTTCAATGACTTGACATAGGCATTTTATATTACGCGTGTGTCATTTAGAGACCATGGAATTTAATCGTTGGATTTTTACAAGACAGACCCGCATGAGAGATGTGCAGACGTGTTATGGAAGTCTACTCAGATTTTTTCATGAAAGTGATGATGACGGAACCGTAACTACTCACGACGAGTGTTATATGCACTTTATTGACGCTGCTCACTGGAGTTAACACATACACTTTCCCGGTGAATGCTGATTTCTCGCAATTTCGAATTTTATAAACATCTATTGCGGAATAGTTCTGTCTTTATCCATTGAAGGTCTATCATACTAGAACAAATTACAAAATACCATCTCAAAAACTTCCTCAAAATATGCTTCTGTTGGTTTAAAATCTACAAAAGAATGAAATAATTGAAGTTAACTGTTGTCACGGAGTTCACGGTTTTAAGTTTATGTTGTTTTAAGCTGAATTTTTATATAAATAGGACATAAAATGTTAAGAGTAAAACGATAGACTTTAAGTATGAATAATCGATATTTTTACTTTGACATCGCTAGTGCACGTAAAGACTCACTGTATATATTTAAATGTGCCTGTTATGGACTTTATTGACATTTTGGTTGTTACGTCAGCCTCATCAAAAGTACAAAACCAAGAATATAAATTAAATTTTAAAGTTGTTAACTCGGTGCTAACCGTATCATGTACACACGACCTTCAGCAAATTTAGAATACCGCGTTGGTGCTTCCGGAACGCTTTCGCAATTATCCCGAGCAATGCAGACGCTACCACCAGTTTCTAAAATAACAACAACGCAGAGGCACGTTTACCTTAACTACATGCATTTTACATGCAGACCTAAACCAAGAACAGCCCGAACTAATACAATTTTGTCCAAAAGCCGCTAATGTTTATTTTAGCATTTAGCAGCCCCTGTTCCTCCGATAAATTCTGGATAGTTTGAATACGTTTAAGCTATGTGTACTGGAAAAGCGGCAGAGTGGTTTGCCGCTTCGCCTTATTAGCAATCCCTTCTCAAAGCTTTCAATCTAACCAGCCATCAACATTTTACTGAACTTTGTTATATAGAGAGTTTCCAGCACATAGGAAAGAAATTCAAAAGGTGTGTATTTTATCTAGGACACGCAACAATTTGCAAAATAATATTTTTTCTTAGCAAAATTTACAAGTTTGTCAATATTATAATAAGGCTATATTCCGGCGTTCATTCGAGATGACCGTAGCGTCATTTATGAAACTTCGTTACTGCCCTATTTTTCCTCTCCGCATTGATTATCAATCTACTTGGGAAAGGTTAATTTGTCATAAATGGTGCTGTAGCCAAATATATGCTTTTGTAGCCGCAATTTAAGTATATTTTTAATTATTGCGGAGAGGAGGAACATAGCTGTGACAAATGTTTATACTAGGGTCTCTCATTTCACCTCAGATAATTTACAAGAATACATTAGGTTGATCATAAATAATGAATGTTTATGCCTCCGGATCCCCTTCTTATGTGCAGAAATTTAGATTTTAATGTGTAATGCTACAATTACAAACAACAAATCAGATAAAACGTGAAATTGATTTTCTCTGATTTTTTAATTGCACAATCAAAACAAAATAATATGAAACTCTTGATTATTACTATTTATTAGTTATCGAGGAACCGGTGAATAATTCAAAAACAGTAAGGTATATCAAAGTTACTTAGAAAGTTTTCACGTTTGGCAAATAAACCCAGAAATTTCTGAAACGGTATATTATGTACACTTAGAGCTCTGGTAATCAGATAAATCCTATCTTTGCTGGCTTTCTTCAATAGGCCATTTGTAGTAAAGGCTAGATTCAGGTGTGCATTTGTTGCAAATGTGACGATAATTTCACGCAACTACTTGAAATTCTTTAAATCCGAAGGTTTCTGACTTCTAAATAACCACAACAAAATTGGAGTCGATTGGTCAAGTAGAATTTCTAATTGTTCATCCCAAAACACCTGTCTTCCGACCATCAATACTAGTTTATTGAGCAATATCCACGGTTCGTTCAAACGGCATTTTTTAGCAAAAGATACGAGCCCACCTTGCCGACATGATTCACAAGCCATTACGAAAAATCATTGTTGTTTTTATGCGAAAAACGAAGGGTTATGTTTTTTTCTTCTAAACAAATTCTTATTTATAAGTAATTGGCCATATTCGCTTCGAAAAATATACGTTATTATATACATTTTAAAGCAACGCGGATGCCTCTATCACCTTTTGTTGCGAAGAAATATTTGTTTTTCACGCTTTCTTCATACTCTTGTGTATACATACTTAGTGCTGAAATTTTTACGGTCACAAAAGAGCCTTGAAGTTTATAAAAAAATATTCCATACTGAAATGCGCTGAATTGTTAGCACGCAAACTGAGGACACAATAATTATGTTTCAAACTGTCTTAGACTAGTTATTATGTAGCATCTGCTAAATGGCTACACTATTGATGACTGGAAGACTTTGTCAAATAAGTCACGTAATCCAGTCTCTTTACGAAGAAATTTAATTCCCTGGACCTTTTTTCTAAAAGTATTAATATAGTATACGCCTGTTTTCGAAATCTAGTAAGATTAAAACGACTGCAAGTTCAAAATGTTGGAAAATAAACTCGAGAAAACGAAAAAACATTAGACAAATATCAACCAATTGTAGCGAACTGACCGTTTGAAAAATTAGGCAACTATCAAACTAGAAAAATAAATGGAACAAACCAAATGATAGCAATCATGATAATAACGACGATTCCAAGTTTCTGTCAAATCGGAGTGGAGCACCAGAACCCTAATTCAACAGCAATCACAAACTCTCTGCTAAAAATTTTACGGAGCTCAACAGCTACTTTATGCAGTCCATTTGCTACTTAAACTGTTAATGTGCATCATGGTGTTATATATGTATGCTTTTCCGGATAACTGTCAAACTAGTCGCATAGCACTCTGACCAAGGCTTTGATATGCAAATGCTCGATAGAGGTCGCTAAATATGACCACCTGTATGTGAATATACAATGTAAAAGGGTTAGCTTTGATGTTTGACGTCTCCTGTTTGAATCAGTGTTATGTATGTTAATTGGAGCACGTTCAGACAGATATACAGATTCACAGTATATGAACGGCTTGAAAAAATTGCTAGATGGAAACAGTATACTGGAAATTTATGAAAATGTGATTATCTGAAGAGACTAAAATGCGAAATGGCTTTAGGGGTTGAAAGTACGTTCGAGTATATTGAGCCATTCTTTGTAAAACTTTAATGAACAGGTTTTCAAAATAATCTTAGATTGTAATAC